GTCCATATGAATCAAAAACTGGGATGTGGCAAAGTTAGAAAAGCATAAAAGCATACAGCTCTAGCAGCTAAAAACGTGGGGGGGAAAGCCAAACAAAAAACCTTTACAAATCTCAAATAATGACATTCTAAGGAAGCATTTCCAATTTTTATTGTCTATGACCAAACTGTCAAAACCAAGGCATTCTCCGTCATCTTTCCTTAGGTATCAGGTAGACAAGCGCTTTATATCAGCATTTTGGTTTTGTTTCTTTTTTGCTTTTTTACCTTTTTCTAAAAAAAGTAAATGTTATTGCAGTAAATAAGTATGGCAGACAATAAATGCCTAACTTTTTTTTTTTTTTTTTAAAGCAAGTAGGTTTTTAGAAGGCGTCTCTCATATGCAAGACAATCTACCACTAGATAAAGATGCCACTAATTTTTTAATTATTACAAAATTAAGGTAAATAATTTTCTTCAAAAATTGTTTTAAAGACACCACATAATGCAGAAGTTTGATGAAGTCAGAACAACTAATCAAGAGCTGTCTGGGATCATCTTCTTATTTTCTTCTTTCCTTCTTAAACGTAAGACTGTTTTTGCTATTCTCTCTAATATTAATTCCAATAAGAATTTTTGCTACTGATTTCCAATTTCATGTACAGTTTTTTTCAGATTCTCTGGTGGATGAACAGGACAAATTTGTCCAGTTTCTTAGACTGAATACAGCCACTTCTTTTCAGTCAGTTCTTGCAGAAAACTAATTTTCCATTACCAAGCCCTGCCTCCCATCAGCACCTCACCTCACCTACCATTCCATATACATTCTAGCTGTCCTTGGCAGAAACTGAAGTAAAATATTTAATTGGAGTTTGAATTATTTTTGGACACTCACTAATTTTGGCTCACTCCCCTGAGCATAGTATCCCCCACTTGTTTCCTTCTCCTCCTTTTATGAGAGAATATTTTATATTTTCTTCAATATGCTTTGAAAGAACAAGTTTCATTTCACAATCTAAACTTTATCAGAATACTTTCTGACCTCTTAGATGAAACTTCATTATATGTTCTTGTCTAATAAGATCTTTGAGACACTCAAATCTGACATTCACCCCACTACATTTATTCCCTTCATATGAATAAATCCTTCAGATTCTAAGGATCTTCCACATGTAAGGTGAATATCCTTCCCATATGAGCACTAAAATCCAAAAGATCATGTATAAAACATTCTCTTTTAAATGCAGTAGTTACGATTCTTGTTTCTCATCATTTTTTGTCTTCAGTAGCAGTCTGTAGTTCAAGAGATAGAATGGATTATAAAGGCACATGCTCAAGAACCACTTGTATTGTCTCTTCYTCACCACAGTTGAAAGAGTGAACAAAAGTGGCATTTATTACAGTTCAGTAGAGAAAAAGGAATAATCCATTGGTAGAAAAATGTGTGAACCAGAATGCACTCACTCTACAGTGTTTTGTTATTTTAAAAATACATTTAGAAAGAATGAGGTAAATATAAATAAGCCAAGTGGGCGTGTGTAAATCAACACAGCCACCTTCTCCTGTTGTTCCTTCCCTGGCTTTGGGAAGCAATTAGATTTCTTTGCTGAAAAGTAACCTTCTATAGAACAGACTATTTTTCTATGTCACAGGGAGAAATGCTTTTACTACAGAGGAGGGACAAGCTGGAAACATGAACATAGACAGAAAATCTGAAAATTCCRTATTAGTAAGGCTATACAGTAAAAGGATTTATGCAATTTCAAAAAGTGTATACTGAGTAGAACATGTTCAAGTCAGAAGTCAAATCAGTAATAACTTGTTCCCAGAGTAACAAGTACATTATTAACAGCTTCATTTAACAGTGGCATACTGTCATGTATTTGATTTTACTGATGTAATGGGTTACTGATTTCTTCAATGGATAAGTTTATTCTGTTAATACACTGCTAATGCAACTTAAAAGGATACAACTCAGACTTTTGATTCCTTGTCTTTCTGCCAAAACTCAGGTCAAAAGAAAATACATAGTAKAATACAATTTTAATACCAAAAAGCAAATTATAACAAACATGCTTTCAACTGAGGGTGTATATTAGAATGCAAAAGAATGCAAGAAAGCAATTCAAATTAAAGAAAATAGCAAGCATGAACTTACTCTAAGCCATAGCATGAAAAGTTATCACAACAAATGGCTYCCGCAGGAGAAACATCTGCACACAGAGATACTATTTCTCTTAAATGTTTGKTTTTTTAAAACATAAAGCTTAAAAATGAGAATTATTTAAACCTTCAYTGCTGTTACCTAAAAAGAATCACCACCAAGTCTGTAAGAAACACTCACAATTACATATCCTTAAACAAGGTTTCATTTAATTTAATATGTTTCGTGTATCTTCTTTGGTTATTCCAGTTGCTTCATAGCAGACTATACTTAAAATATTGTAATCAATTTAAATAGCATCTACAGTCATCACTTAATGGAAATGTGAATAATCAATATATTCTCCCTTGCATTACTGTASATCAATTAAGTATTGATTGATTAAATATTGATTTCAATTAAGTTTGAAAACCCTGCCTGCTGCGTGACTCCACAGTGAAGCATTGTAAAACAGCATCACCATTTTATTTAGCATTAGTTATATTACAGTACTATCAATAATACCTAAAAGCTCACACCAGGATAAAGCTTTCACTGCCAGAGTAAAGACAGCTCCTGTCTATTTGCTTATAGCAGCATCCAGAATGTTTCTCAGGTTAGGAAATTAAAAATCATCAGCAAGAATATCTTAAGAAGGTTGCAGAATCTCTACTACTGGAGGCTTTCAAGAATAAATCACCACCAGGGATGATGCAGATATAACTGACTGTGTCTTGGGCTAAGCAATTAAGGGACTTCTTAAAGTAAATTCCAGTCCCATTTTCAGCAATTCCACGTTGCAGCAGGCATTGCCAACAGACACTTACCCAAAAGCAAAAAAGTATTAGCTCCATTCTGATCAGGTCATTGGCATTTAATACCATCCAGTAATTAGCAAGCAACAACCTCTGACACATCTAGGGCATGAGTCTTAGCTGTCACAGCTTGAGACTGAACAAAGCTTCTTGACTGCCCTCATGGTCAAGATTTCTGATGCAAAAACCTCTGACTATAACTAAAACTGGATATCAAAAAAGTGGGAAAAAACCCAACACAACAACAAATGCTATTCCAGGATACCCAATGAGTCCTTGGGTTCCTAAAGTTTGCAGGAATCTTTTAGTCAGTTCTTGAAGTAGTTTGAGATCTATTTAGATAGAAGACATTTCTGGAATAACAAGACTACTAGAGAAGGATGAAGTCAGAGAGGCATGCTTCCTCGACTTTTCTTTTTTAATTTCACACCCACACAGACACAGAGTCAATTCCATTGTCAACCAACTGAAGCAGCCTTTTCTGAAAGGGGTCACTAAAATATTGTCCTGTTGACCTGAGTGAATAGGASAGCTTTGCACTGTGAGCCTAAGGATTACTTGCCACAGTTAAGAGTATCCAGGCCAAGAAAAATTTGGTCAATCTGTTCATGAAGAAAAGGCGGCACGGAAGGTAGCAAGGAATGACTGGCAACAGTTTAGCAGCAGCAAAAAGGCTATTTCAGAAGTACTGCCTAAAGACAGGAGGAGGTCAGGCTACTACTGGTCTGAACTTGAAGAGAGACCCTTAGGAAACCACCACCTTACTTGGTATCCCAAATGCATTAATTGTAGTATTAGTGTGATCTCAGACTAATGGCAAAGGTAACAAACAGACAAAATCCTGGTGTGGGACATATTTTCATATACATACACACACAYTTACAAATCCAAGCAATGTTTCCATCAGCAGGAGAGAAAGATATCCTCACATAAATACATAATTATTTCTAATTTCATTTCTGTCAATCCAAATCAGATCCACACTGACCATTTCAGAAAATCATGGTTGCTTCTACCTAATATACAATACACAACATTTATCTATTAATATGAAAACTTCCTTATGTCTACCACTAACTACTGAAAGAGTTCTAACAGAAAGAGTTCAACTGTTTAGCATATTAAATTTAAATTTTAAAAAATTTACTTCAGAAAGAGAAAAATATCCTCCTAGATTAATTAAGCTGTTAAATAATCTATGGAAGAATTTATATGGCACTGAAAGTGAAAATCAAAATTCTTTGTTCTTTTCAGTGATGTCTAGTGGAACTATAGTCTCACTACTAGCCATTAATGGCTGGTAACACCCAAAAATTTAATATCATTTATCTAGCRCAAAACTTCTGCAGACCTTGATGATAGTCCACCTTCATGATTATCCCCATTTACTCAACAATGTATCTGAGTTAATACTGACCAAAAAAGAAAAAATGTAGACACTCTAAAAAAAATAAAAGCCATTACTKTTGTTCTGTATATGAGCGTGGCTGTGGGTCTCTTTAGGAAAGGAGAAACCAAGTTTTTTTTTTTCATTACCATACTTCTTCATCCTAGAAATCTCCAACACTGTGTCGAAACCCACAATAGAGCAATGAAACATTATCCATCTTAAAAAATACTGGGATCTGTCTAGAACAGAGAGTTTTGGAGCCAACAATAACTCTAAAACAGATTAGTTAAAAATGGAGCATCTTATTAATGTATTAAAATTACTGGGTTTTTTCCCAATCTGAAAACCTAATAACATTATCAAGATCATGCCTTAACTGAGATTAAGTTTTTCACAAACTATATTAAATTTTTGCATATTTTCAACCATATGTTGTGCATTTTTTAAAGTGCTTCTTCAAAAATGCTGTAAATGCTATAACATGTGACCTCCAACTTTGCACGATATTTGTGAAAAAAAAAATTCAAAAATTATGCTTAAAAATTAAAAAATTGTGCAATACAAAAGTGCTATCTTCCTAAAGAATGTTCCAATTAGCAAAACCACAGCTAGAAAACAAAATCATCCATAAGACTAATGCTTCCAACATTTAACTTTAAAATAGTGCATCTTACCCCCTGTTCCAAGAACTTTCAGGAGCTCGAAGTTTTCAATGCCAACTTTCTCTGCATGGCCTGTCAAATTTGCTGAAGGAAAAAAAAAATCACATCAGATATGCAGTACACCAAAACATCATTCTGACATGTTATACYGCTTCAATAAAACCAAGTTAGTAGATGAATTAAATAAGCAGCACTAAGAAGACATCCCAATTTCCTACTGYATTCAACTTCAAAAGCAAGGGTAAGCAATTTTCTTGCTGCCATCAATGTACCCAAAGGTATAAAATCACCAAATAATAACTGAAGYGCATCTAATTTGCATGCACCGTTTTTCATTGTATCACTAGGCACCWCTGAAAAAAGTCCAGCTCTACCCTGTCTGTAATCTGCAATCACATAGTTACAGATAGCAATCAGGCCATTCCTTAGCCCTAGCATCCCAAATATTCTCATTTCTCTGGATTATATGGTACTTGGGATGACATCAACAGATGTAAAAATGGCCTTAAGCCTACATAATTCACAAGTATTGAAAAATCTAACCTGCTAGAAAGTTGTGTCATTTGTTGCAGAGTTTGGAAGGAGGAGGCTCTATGTTTACACGAACGGATACCACTTTGGTACTTATTTTGTCCAACATTTTTCTGAAAACGGATGTAAAGACCTCTGCTTTAAAAAAGGGGTTGTGTAGGGTTGATTTGTGGTTTATTGCCTTTTTTCCTTTTCAAAGCTCCTATAAGAAAGCCTTCTGCACTTGCCATTTTATCCATCTTTTATTCCAATCATAATATTATCCATCTGTTTGCATCAATCTGACTGCAGACCATTCAACCATTCAGAAAAAACCCTCACTGAAATGATTCAGGCTAAAAAGCAGCAAGACAAAAAAAGTAACTAAGTTTGAGTGTTCATATCCAAGTTCAGTTCCCTGATCCAATTTACTGAGCAGCTTCATTAAGCACAATTAAGGATACAGCATCAAGCGGCAGAAGCTGCAGAAGCTGGCATAGCTACTAAAAGAATGCCTCAAACAGAAACTTCTAGACAAACTGTATGTCTAAAGGCTAGTAAAGAGAAAAAATTCTTCAGTGAGGATAGGAAATGCTGACATTAACTTATTAATATCATAGAAATTCTCATTTGCTTTGACATTGCTAAGAAATTTTATAAAGATGTGCTTCCTAAATTAGTGTACAAATGTTTAATTAATGTCCATTCAGAGAACTGCAGTAAGTCAACAACTCAAAACATAAAGCTTCTGAAAGACTGCTGCAAAGATGAACCAGTGGAAAAAAACATCCAAACACTAAATCAAAAAGCAAATTCATGACTTATTGCAACAATAATAAGCCTGGGAATCTGTACACACACAGAAAATGTACCTAGTTGGGTCAAGACAACATTAGTGCTCTCAATGCAAAACAGTGACAAAATCTCATCTAAAAAGAGATTATTTTCACTTCATATAATTCAACTTTTAGAAGGATTAATCAAACTTGGAGTAAGTGCTGACACAGCTTGAAATCACTGAGAGATACTAAGTCTGAAAGAGTTTTCAGTATTTTTTGTCTCRTATGAACAGAAGTACACAAGAGAATTTTTGCAAATCTGAGGGAATCTACAAGTTATTTTGTTAAAAAAGCACTACATAATCAATTATTATTGTTATTGAAAGATTACTTTTGTGATCAGTTCCATTTTAGTAACATGTACTAGGCAGGACAGTACCAGATTCCTTAACAAATCAGTGTGTCAGTATGCACCACAGGAGCTGAACTGAAGCCTGCTGTACTACTTTTCATTGCAAATAGAACAAATACTCCTGCCAGAGCTACATCGCAGTCACTGCTTAAGACAGCAACAAGGAAGCCACAYTCATGTGCCAATAAAGGAGTTACAGCAGGTAAGGCAAATCTAGACTAAGTTAGTGCCTATACAATTAAGAGTATGTTGTGTCACAGAAAGCAAACAGTCTTCAAGGAATTTARTATTACATATTACTCTTCTTAACAAGTACTGAAGATAGTACTCAAAACATTGTCTCTYCTGCCAGGGACATCAAGGAGTCACTGACTATTCTAAATAAGACCAGGGCTAGAGTATCTACACTTTAATGAAGCAGTGGATAGCACTGAAGATATTCAGGACATAGAACTTCTCTGTACACTAACTAAGCAAGTGCTGAACTCGGGGTGGCCAGAATGTTTTCAGTTCAAGATCCACTGATTTGGATCTTCCATGATGGAGTATTCAAGTAKTATCTCACTTCCTTAGGAGTGTCAGCAGAAGGCTTTTTAATTGAACACCCTTCTGGAAAGCAAAACAGTCAGTTTGTCCTRTCATATTCTTGGAACTGCATAGGAAGACATAGTGGAACCCAGTGAAAGGCTGCATCTCCAGTAACACACACAAGATTTGCAGTGCTGGCTGTGATCCTAAAAAGAGATCAACTCTTAAAACTCAGTTCATTAATCTAAACTGTACTGTGAGTACAATAACATCAGCAAAACCTCTTCCACTTTCATGAGGCTACACAATAAAAAGCTGAGTGATAGCTAGTTTGAATTATTATGTACTTGCTTCAATGTGAGCTGGAATTTTGCACCCTGTTTAATTCCATTACTTGTATTCAGGATGCTTAACGGCCTTGTCCTTAAAAAAATTAAATGTCTTGAAGGTTACTGCAATGTTGTTTCCATAGTAAAAAGAGAAAATTACATCAGGAATAAGCATATGATAACTGTAAAATAGGATCCACCTAATTCTTTTTGCATTATACTAAGGAAAAAAGCCATCCCAAAAGAGAGATAAAGGGTGCTGCATGACACACACAAGTATGATAGGACACTTTAGACAAACTCTCTCACAATTACTCCCTATAAAGCAAGAAATAAAATTACCCTTCCAAAAAACAAACAAACAAACAAACACAAAAAAAAACCAAACAACAACTTCAAAGCTGTAAAAAAATATTAACAACAATTGCCAGAAAGTCAACAGCTTCTCCTAATGTTGCCACATGGCAATGGCTTGCTCCAACAGCCTCAGTGGCAGTGCTCACTCCATCAGTGAAGTCAAACCATAAGAAAAGCAAGGTGAAGAGCTTGTTTGTGTCACTTTCTAATGACACCACTAGAGCAGTCCTTTGTCTTCAACTGCTGAAAAGAGGTGCAGCACACTTTGACACCCTGCAGCAGAGATGAAGTGCACCTTCTCCAGGACAAAAGCTCACATTCTAACACTTCCTTCAACTTTTCCTTCTGAAAGCATAAATCTCAGAAGCCCAAGTATTCTATTCACCACTCATTCCCAGGAACCTGAATGACCATTTTTGGAGGACCTTTCACCAGAGCTGCTTTCTGCAGTTACAAAACTGTTCCAGGACTGACATGTTTTACAGGGTTGTAACGAGACCACTACTATTACTATGACTGGCTGAACAGTGAAAGGCTTCTCACACCTCACAGACATCACTGTACCAGAAATGGTATCAGAATCCCACCCAACAATTGCCTGTGCAAACTGCACAGCCTACCTGTCAAGACTGCAGTGGAGTGTACACCACTGCACAAAAGGCAGTTTTGGAAACAGAAAAATTACCTCTCCATGCACTGTCTTTTTGAAGTTTCTTGACACACCAGCTGAAGTGAACCAAGGAAGGGAACAGAGTTTGGATAGGAAGAAAAGTACCGCCCAAGTCAACAGGATGAAAGCTTCTCCACAAATAACATGAAGCTATACATGACATAGCATTATAAAGGATAATCAGCATTGCACCAATATGGTTAAGGAGAATATGCAGCTGAGTGCAAGAGCAAGAGGTAACACATCAACTCAGAAACGAGTAGTGAAGGGAAAGGCCAAGACACCATAACATGCATAAAAACAAAGGGGAAACAGAGATACTAGYCACAATCATCATCTCTGAAGTTAGAAAGAAAGGAAATATCCAGAAATACTATCACCTCAAAGACAAGCCTCCCTCTACACACAGGGTCACCAGTGCACAGAGACCAGTGTTGTCATTCTCAGTGCCCTAGAAATAAGGCAGTCTGTTTATCCAGAATAACACTTCTGCTTGATGGAGAATCTCCAGATGATATAAGAGACATGAATGCCACCTGCCCTACACCTGAACTGTGAGATGACTAAGAGTGAACTAAGAACTGTGCAATCTGGTACTGTGCAATGATTCCATAAGCTTTTAATTGCACTTCTATGATCCTGACAAATAATATTTCAGCAGTGTTTGTTTTCAAGTTAAAGTGTGCTCTGTCCTCTATTTCTGCACTCCACTGCATAGAGATCTTGAAGCASACAAAGACAGAGCTTCCTCTACTGAACTAGATCAAACAATCTTCTAAAACAAGCTCTGCCTGAAAGCTGAAACTTGTCTCTGCTATTCTCTGCAACAYGAGACCAATTCTGTTGTTTTATTGAGCAGAACAATGAACCTCGGGCAATTTTAAGAACGGAAAAAGCAAGAAGGAAAGCGAGACAGGAGACATTCTCCAATATTACAAATATTAGGTTGCAATGTCTAGTACCAATATCAACTTGATCTTAACCTATTACTTCAGAGGATGGCCCATCCCCACTAACCTAGCAGATCTACTTAAATCACAGCATCAAAGAACAGATGTTGTTTTAAATCTAACATGTTTATGCCTTACTCAGAGTAGATAGTGGGTGTTTTCCCTCGAAATTAAGCAAAGCTAGCATATTCCTTTCAGGGGGTTAAAAAAAAAAAAAAAAAAAAAAAAAAGAAAAAGAAAGAAAAAAATTAACACCATGCAAGAGAAACTACACAACTATTATTAGACAAGGAAGAAAATGTATATGTTACACTGTTAATCGGCTATATAGAGTTATACTTTGTTACTGGTTACAGCAACTTAGAACTATTTGTGAAGGAAGTGAAAGTATTCTGAAGTCCTTGAAATCTGAGAGACCATTGCTACCTAGTGTCAGGTCACTGAACAAGAGCACCATTTAATCAGATCAGGGTACTACCTTACAAGCTTAAAACGGAATTTAAAAACCATAACATCTCAAGAACATTTTTCATAGGCAAAAGAAAGAAT